TGGATCCTGAATATTACTACATACTTCGTTACATTGTTTTACAACTTGTAATGTTTCTGGAGTATTGTAATGTTTCTGTAATGAATGCATTCACAGGATGAGAGAAGGAAGGCACCTTTTTATTGTTCACTTTATTGTATTTATATGTATTGTATTACTCATCGAAATTAAAATTAAGCAGAGGAAGTAACAACATTAAATAATATTATATGTAAATAATTATTAAGCAGGTTATTTCTCGTCATGTTAGTTATTCATCACAATTGTAGCATTATTGTTAGTATCATTCGAGCAAATTATATGTAATTGTTTAATAAATCCTTTATATTTCAGTGTTACATCCACCTGTCATTAAGAGCTGAGGAGGTATAGAGCTGCATCTTATTATATGTAAAATACTTCTTCATTGCAGTAGCAACTTTATTATCCATATAAATGTATTTTCATTATGTCATATTTTAATGTTCTGATATATTTCATTTCTCCATTGCATATATTTTCATTATATAAATAAATACTGGGTCGGGAGGGAGCATCAGGGTATCATTCAAACTGAAACTGGACGATGGTATGATTGACAGCCGGAGTCTAGGAGGGAATAAACACTATCATTTTCTTTATCCTACCGATTCGATTGTGATGGTGTGAATTCTACTCCAACAGTTTCAGGGCGATTGACGCGCCCTTCTTAACAAACCATCCAGTAGGAAGCTTAATAAGTATTGCGAATTGTGTTATTCGATTTGTTGGAGCGTATCGTTGGAAGGAGATTCTTACATTCCCGTGGATTTCGCGTAAGTGTCTCTGCTTACAGGTCCGCCCTTCCGTTTTTGGCCCTTCATACAGCGATATTGTGAATTCAGATCGGTAGCTCAAATTGATCTTGCTATTAAGTGGAGCTGCATACAAGACAAGTCTTGAACGGATGGTGGCTACCTTACATACATACGTCTATGGACTTTCTACCAAAGTCATGTAACTTTTAAATATTAATTAGTTGCTATATCGCTGGTGGTTAAATTGAATGCTTCTTACGATCGTAGTTTCAACAACATTATACACTGAAACCTCCGTTTACGAAGTCTTTTTTTACGCAGTATTCAATTTACGTCCCTCTTTTTACGAAGTAAATCCCAAATAACGAGGTTTTTTTTACGAAGTAAATCCCAAATAACGAGTTTTCTTTTTTGCGATTATGGGAATCTGGGAAAAACTATGAAATATCCCACAATATGGGTATCTTTGGAATCGGAGTGAGATGTAGGAACCGGAAACCCATGTCTGACGCCATGTTTAAATCCAAGATGGCGGCATCCGGTTTATGAAAAACTGGAAGATACTGTCAATACCCCACAATAAGGGTATTTTTGGAATCAGGATGACGTGTAGGAACTGGAAATCTATGTTTGACATCATCTTGAAATCCAAGATGGCGGCTTCCGGTTACAGAAAAACTTGGACATTCTGCCATATACAACACAAAATGGGTATTTTTGGAATCGGAGTGACGTGAAGGGACCAAAAATCGATATCTGACCCCATTTTGAAATCCAAGATGGCGACTTCCGGTTACAGAAAAACTTGGAAATTCTGCCAAATCCCCCACAATATGGGTATTTTTGGAATCAAGGTGACGTGTAGGGACCGGAAATCGATATCTGACGCCATTTTGAAATCCAAGATGGCGGCTTCCGGTTACAGAAAAACTTCGAAATTCTGTCAAATAGCCCACAATATGAGTGAGGTATAGAAAAACTTCGAAATTCTGCCAAATACCCCACAATATGGGTATTTTTGGAATCAGGGTGACGTGTAGGGACCGGAAATTGATATCTGACACCATTTTGAAATTCAAGATGGCGACTTCCGGTTACATAAAAACTTGGAAATTTTGCCAAATACCCCACAATATGGGTATTTTTGAAATCGGAGTGACGTTTAGGGACCGGAAATTGATGTCTGACGCCATTTTGAAATCCAAGATGGTGGCTTCCGGTTACAGAAAAACTTGGAAACTCTGCCATATACCCCACAATATGTGTTTTTTTGGAATTGGAGTGACGTGTAAGAACCGGAAACTTATGTCTGACGTCATTTCGAAATCCAAGAAGGCGGCTTCCGGTTACAGAAAAATTGGCAAATACCACCACGTCACCCCGATTCTTAAGATACCCGTATTGTAGGTTATTTAACATTATTTTTGTGTAACCGGAAGTCACCATATTGAATTTCAAAATGGCGTCATACATGGATTTTCAGTCCTAATAAGTCAACCCGATTCCAAAAAACCCATATTGTGGGGTATTTGACAGTATTTTCCAGTGTTTCTGTAACCGGATGTCACCATCTTGGATTTCGAAATGGCGTCAGACATTGACTCTCGGTTCTCACAGATTACTCCGATTCCAAAAATATCCATATTGTTGTGTATTTAACGGTATTTTTCTGTTTTCCTGTAATCGGAAGCCGCTATCTTGGATTAAAAAATCGCATCACACATCACATCGGGATTTGACAGAATTTCCAAGTTTTTCTGTAACCGGAAGTCACCATCTTGGATTTTGAAATGGCATCAGACATCGATATCCGGTCCCTACACGTCACTCCGATTCCAAAAATACACATATTGTGGGGTATATGACAGAATTTCCAAGTTTTTATGTAACCGGAAGTCGCAATCTTGGATTTCAAAATAGCATCAGACATCGATATCCGGTCCCTACACGTCACACCGATTCCAAAAATACTCATATTGTGGGATATTTGGCAGAATTTCTAAGTTTTTCTGTAACCGGAAGCCGCCATCTTGGATTTCAAAATGGGGTCAGACATCGATTTTTGGTCCCTACACGTCACTCCGATTCCAAAATACCCATATTGTGGGGTATTTGAAAGAATTTCGAAGTCTTTTTGTTAGCGGAAGCCGCCATCTTGGATTTCAAAATGGCGTCAGACATCGATTTCCGGTGCCTACACGTCACCCTGATTCCAAAAATACCCTTATTGTGGGGTATTTGACAATATGTAGTGTTAATGAATAGTGAAAGTGAATAGAGAAAGTGAATAATGAAGATGAATTGTGAAAGTGATGAGTGAAAGTGATACAATAGCAGTAGAATTAAAAGGAAAAACAATGTAATAAAGTATAAAATTAGTCTACTAAAACGCTCATCAATCAATTAAGACTTCCAAAGTAATTAATGGAGAGCTTTCGTTTCCAACATATTGTGATATACGGGGGGCATTGCATTCTTGAGATGGGTCACTGAATCTTGAATAGAGCTATCACCTTTTAACTCCCGGTCTGAAGTTGTCATCCATTATGGCTATTACTGACAGTTTGTTTCTATGAAGACAAACGCACCACTGAAAACATAATCCATTTCGCATGTTCTGTAGGAATCGAATCGATTCTTTGCGTTCTCCTACTATTATAACCGCAAAAGCAGTGCCAGTGTCATTATTCAACAAACTGAAAAAAAATTCAAACCCTGTTGCACAAAAACTTCTCACTCATCCGTTGCTCGATCTGTTGGTGCAATCCTAGTTGCTTGCATTTGCACGGTTCCCTTGAAAACACACTTTTCGTTACTCACATTGTTCGTCAGTAGAGTAGAGTGCCGCTGCAGAGACACAGAATCGAAAATGAAAAATCATTCAAACAGAGTTTCGCCGCTTTTCCGCACCCACAGAACACCTATCAGCTCAGTCTGTCGGACTTCGAGAAGGGATCCGTGATCCGTGTGTATCTCTTCAAAATGATGATGATTCGTGGAAAGTCTCTCCACCTCGATGAAAACTTGTCCGGTTGGAGGAAAACTAATTCGATAGAGCAAAAAGCATGTGGCGGGTGCTTCACTTCAGCAGACACTCCAGACAGACACAGATAGACAGCGAAAATAAAACAAAAGTCACTACGAATCAGCTTCGCTCGTGCCAAGGGGGGGGGGTCACTCCTGCATTCGGGTGTATCGAACATCAAGAATCATAAAGTGGATAATTTATGCAATCTGAAGTGGATGGCGAGGGGCAGGAGGCAGAGTCGTTAGTCATGCGATCTGACAGTTTGAGGACTGCTGCAGTAAAACAAGACAGCCTGGAGGATCTTCCGAGTAGGGTGCTGCTCTTGCTTGGTGTTCTTTTACGCCAGCAGTGTTCGTTTCGGATGGTGAAAAGAGGAACGTTGCTTCCAGTCGGTCGCCGCATATTTGCGTGCGCCTCATCACAGGGTCCCAGGTTTTCCTTTATGTGTCTTCTTCTTGTGAATTTCTTATATCAAATTCAGAAAAATTGAAACGAATTTCTGAAATCAATTTCGAACGGAAGTTGTTTTATGTCGTTTCGTGCACTTGCCTTTCGAGGAATGTGTTCGAACTTTAACTGTGATTCGAAGAGAAGAAAAACTGTGATACCGTGGGAGGGATGGCAGTTATTTGCCAGGGGTGCGGTAGGGACGGTTTGCAATCAAATTATTATTAGTGTTTGGTGAAGCATTTCCATGCTCGGCACTGTCTGTGTGTACAATGAATTGAAAGAGACGCTAGGAAAATTCCTTCGCTTAGAATCGAAATCAAGCCGGGTTGACTCTTTGGAGCACATGAAAGTAGAAGAAAAGAAGGTTCTTATTTATAGCTTGTGGAGCTAGAATCATTGAGACGACATAATGGCAAAGGGAAAGGAACCTCTGAGCCGTAAAAAGGATACAAAACGCCACTACTCAAGACTGAGCTTTGACTCTTTTGCATTGTATAGCTTATTTTTTCAAACATGCTATTTGCCATTATGATAAGAGGAAATTTTATTCGAATTCGTTGTGGTGGAAGATTCGAATTTTTGACTCATTTCACTGGAAAAATTTGTATGAATATTTCAAATGAAGCGTACCAGGTGTGCTCGGGCAGTCATTGTTTGAAAGTGTTTCAAGTAAAAAAGGTCTTGCTTCAAAACAAGTCGAGCAGTGCAAATAACTCAATCCAATTTCGTCTTCATTTTCTTTGCAGCTACGGAATCATCTCATTCAGTCTGGTATTTGTGGTGGAACGACTCGGTGGCATCTTGCAAGCCACCCTCACACTAAATGGCCTTATCGGTGGAGTAACGCTGGGGCTGTTCTCCCTGGGGATGTTCTTCCGGAATGCCAACAGCAAGGTAAGTGCCAGGGATGAGGGCACTGAAATGGTTTCGATTATCTTCCCATTCCCTGATTTATTTCAAACGTTTAATCGATTGGGTGGAGGTTGATTTCAGGAAGAAAAAGAAGCATTCAATCGAACTGGGTCACATGCATCGATGCGGGAATCAATTACATTGGTCTTGTTTTACTTTTACACACAATCGAAAGGAATCGACATTGTTTGTAAAGTTAGAAGTTTACACTAGAAAGATCATTTAGTGAGCGTTCTGCCGGCTCACAACCTAGTGTTCTTGATGCACTTCGACAGTTATGAAATTAGAGCTTTCTATGCCAGCAAATGCATGAATTTGAATATTGTGTGGCAAGCAAAATGATACTCTTTGCCCGGGAAAGTCGACAAAATTTCCAACTCGAATGATTTCCTCTACCGGATCGGGAATCGAAACCGCCACCTCCGGTTTGGCAATACCGTACATTTACTGATTAGGCTATCTGAGACGTCACGTATAATCTCGTTTAATTTTGAGCTCTAGTTGACATAAAAATTAAAAATTTTAGTAGCTTGTGTACTCAACATTGCTGATTTACGCGATATTGCTCTCAAATTTCCATTAAATATCGTGTAAATTTACACCAAATCTTGCGTTAATTTGCGTACACTGTATACATATTATGTTACAGTAAGCGTAATTGCCTCTCTCCCCAAAAGGCGTGGATTAATCCAAGTCGGCGCCACCGGGATTTTCTGAGGCATAAACTCTCTGATCACGCCTTTCTTTGGGAAGTAAAGCCGTTGGTCCCCGGTCCATGAGTTGACGATGGGTCGATAGGTAGGATCTAGTCGTGGAAGTTGTTTCCCTGGCGTCGGTAGCATTGGTACTCAGTACGGAAAACAAGATCGACGGAAAATATATCAAAGAAAAAAATAAAACATGTCCAACAACATTTTATTATCACTGGAACTTCAACTTACACACCTAGCCTCAACAACGGACCGTGTATCCTGAAGTACACACTCTAATATGCCTCCTCGGAAAAACCATTTTCCAACCACTAAAAGAGGCGTTGTTGATGATAAGAACGACGATGATGATGATGATGATGATGATGATGATTACGATGAGTCGACTTCATACTACACATACCCCCTCTAAAAAGCCCTCTTATGCCGTAGTCACAATCTCTCCATTTTTACTGGAGAACCCAGCGTGGAAGTGTTCGAAATAAGGAGCTCCACAGACGCGCTTGAGTTTCATGCAGGTGTGGTGAAAGCCCTCGGCTTTCCCCACTGACTGTAGGAGTGTAAGTGTAAATTGAAAATATGAAAATTTGATTACCTGCTAATATTTCCATTTTGGCTCAATGGCCATGCCAATGGTGGAGGTGTGGCACTGGCATGATGATACTGTTTATCTTCCCGCTAAATGCGTTCTTCTGGCAGTTATTTTAAAAGGTGGATCTTCAACGACGTTGACGAGAAAGTAGATAAGGGTCCCATGGAGCTTAAGATTAGATCGGAGAGCAGATTTCGAAGAAGCTGCTGCCGTTGAAGAAACGTGTGTGCCTCTGGCTTTCGGTTAATCGTTAAGTTCTAAGAGCGATGGCAGTGAATGGCGTGCTTTGAAATGGAAAGGTTGAAATCGACTCGTGCGCTATGATGTTCAATTTCAAACGATATTGCATTATTGCTACCTACCAACAGTACTTCACCGGCTGATGGATGCGACCGTAGCTCGTTCACTCGTTCCCACAACACCTACTTTGTTGTAATCCACAGTCAGTATGGAGGGATGATAATGTACAGCTTCACTGTGGCGTGATAATCGAAATCATTGTCGTCGGAATAATACGAGGTGATATCAATTTCTCAGTTTGGACGGTTTTGCTTACAGCAGCTGTCGGAAATTTCAATTTTTGAAATTGATCATGCATAAATGACTTAGCATTTGAGGGGGTGGTGTCAGATGTTGTAACCGGCAATGTATTAGGTATATAAAAATAAGCTGCGAAGATGGGGGGCTGATTACATTGTGAATGTTTTGAAGATGGCTTGGGCGTGTTCAAGGGCGTAGCCGGGTTTCGGAATAGAAAGGGAGCAATTTATTTTGGTATGAATATCTAGCTAGTTTGGGGCTCTTTTCCGCAATTGACTTTTTCTCACAATATCCTTGAAGTATTGCCAAATATGTCTTATTATTTCCTGTTAAGTAAACGATGAAGTCATTCAAATCTCTTAAAAGCAAACTCGTTTGTTTGTTTGTTTAGAGTTAGCTTTTAGCTGTAATTTTATTTTTTTTTTAGTTCAACGCATGTGTTTAGCACATTTTAGGTAACTTACAATTTTAATCCACTTCGTAAACAATTATTCGTCTGTCGTAACAGTAGTTTATGCATATTCGTTGAGTCCTTGTTAATGATATATTTCAATTAGTATTATGTGTTTTTTTAAAGCAAAGTGTACTTACAATTACAGTTATAATTAACAAATTTATAGTCTAACTTTTAAAGTGTTGTATGTTCTGTGTTGATTGTGATAGTAACATAACAATGATAAACGAAATTGATAACTGACAACTCAAGCTGACGACTTCTCACTTGACGTTATCATTTAACCGTTAGTTCTAAAGGATATCGTCAGCGTTTGCTGTTGACAGGGGGTCTGGTGCCGTTGCGCACACACTCCACCCTGTATTGCTTGAAGTTCCTTCAGCCATATCAACCTGCTCAAGCACGTCCAGTACCGCCAGCTTGGTCAACGGCCGCTGAAGTACACCCGTCGTATGCGTCCATCCTTCCCTGGATACACCTTCTCAACGACTCCTCGCTCCCAGCTATTCCTCCTTGCCTCGTTCACGACTACGACCAAGTCTCCAACTTGGATCGATTTCACTTCCTGGAACCACTTCGATTGTCGTGAGATGACTGGAATATATTCTTTTATCCACCGATTCCAAAAGCGGTCAAGCATGACTTGATCGTGGTTTCAATTCGAACGTATATCCGACGTAATATCCAACGGAGCGACGGTTGGTTGACATACTCCATTGGAGCTTAGAAGTAAGAAGTGGTTCGGGGTAAGTGCTTCACTTTCCTTCGAATCCAGCGGAAGGTAGGTAAGAGGACGAGTGTTCACCATCGACTCTGCTTCCGCCAACGCCGTGATGAAGGTTTCTTCGTCCGGATTCCTTGGCATCTCCATGGCGGCCAAACCAGCTTTCACCGAACGCACCAATCTTTCCCAGATGCCGCCCATATGCGGAGCATACGGAGGATTCAGCTTGCACTGCGTTGCTGCATTCGTGAACGTTGCGGCCAGTTCATGATTAACTTTCTTGATTTCTTGCTGCAGTTCCTTCCGATCTCCTTGGGAATTTGTTCCCTGATCCGAATAGATCTTCAGAGGTGCACCACGCCGAGCGATGAATCTTAACTTGCATGATTCCGCAGACAAAGTGAACTGCCCGCGTTGTGAGGCAGGTGAATAATGCCACTCAGTGTTTCACGGTACCACGCCCGAATCTGACAGTAATTGGTCCAAAATAGTCCAACCCAGTAAAGGTGAACGGCCTGACGTATGGAGTTAGACGTGCTTCCGGAAGTTGGCTTATACGGGGACGCTGCGGAATCGTCTTGCGCACTTTGCATCTGCAACACTCCTTTACCACCTTTTCTACCGCATCTCTGAGCTCGGACACATGGAATGATCTCGTTTACGATCGTCTATTTATTTGCATTCCCGAATTTTCGATGAAAGCTGTCGATGATCAATGCGGTCACGTTATGGGTTTTGGGTAAAATCGCAGGATACTTTGCTTCGAAGGTCAGTCAGGGAGCAGCACCGATCATCCCATCCTTTCGCATTACGCCAGCAGCTCCGATCAATGGACACAACTTGTAGATCCTGCTACTCTTCACCTCTGCCTTACGTTGGATTAGTGGGAGTTAATTGTTGGATTCCAACGAAGCATACTCATCGGCAAATACTTCACGTTGAATAATTCTCAGCACCGTATGTTCAGCTTCCCGGAACTCTTCGCTGCTCAGAATCTCAGGATTTGGAAGTGGCAGCTTGTTCTTCTTCTTCAAGAAGATGTCCTGGAATCACCGCACGTACCCTACAGTCCTAAGCAATCTTTCCCCTTTTCGAGAATCGGTCAAACCCAATTGTTTCACCTGCTACTGCTGTGCGATGGATGTTGACATTCCATTTCCTGTTCTGGTCACTCTAGCTCATCCTTGTAAAGGAATTCTGGGCCTTTGAGCCACCTACTATTTACGGTAGCTTTCGGACCGTTTCCCCACTTCGTGGCTTCGTCCGACACGGTCCACCTCGTAGGCACCTTTCTCCATTCGGATACGTCAGTAATTTCCAGAATGTCACCGACCCTGAAGGCTTCAAATTGATGAAACTTCCGTTGATCAGATCGAAGCCAAGCCAGGACGCTCCAGAATATTTTCCTGGTGATCAGAAGGGTGTGGCTGGCAATGATGGTTTTCATCAGCCTTGCACCGATGACAGCAGCTTGCAGCTCTAGTCTCGGTACAGAGAGTTGCTTGAGTGGTGCAACCTTGGATTTGGACGCTACCAGACTGCAGCGGATAGTTCCAAGATCGACGATCCGGAAGTAGGCAGCTGCCGCATAGGTAGATAGACATGCATCCACAAAAAACGTGTAGTTTCAGAGTCTCGAAGGCTTCTGTTACAATTCTATTACAATAATCTGCAATAGTCTTTAAATTGAAAAATTGGAAAATAGAGATATCCACATTTGTGCTCGAATCAAAAATTAAATGGTTCACTCAAACTGGTATAACACTTTTAAAAAGTGTTTGAAATTAACAACTCCCTCGTTCCAAACAGGGAAAATCAATCATCATCGCATCCACCAAATCACTCACCGCGAAATCCAGCAATGATAAACGTCAACACCTTCTCCTGCACCTGTTTGTTCGGTAACTCAACCGAACCGAAGCGAAACAAACATAACCTATCAATTCTGGTAGCGTGTTTCCT